TTGTTACTACTAGTAAGGCACCTGTTACTACTAGCGTGGCACTTGTTACTAGCTTTGAGCAGTCGCCATTCGGTCCTATCGAGCCTTTTGAGCCTATCGGAGTGCTTCCCGAGGAATTGCCACAAAAGCCTGCAGTGGTCATTCGGAGAGCCCGGCTGCCAAAACAAGAGGGCCAGGGCTGTTTGCAAGCTTCCATGGACTCAATGCATCGGGGAACAGCTGGCTGGAGGAGCAAGAATGCCCAAGCAGATAGGATTGCTGAAATGAGCAAAATCAAGGACCAAAACCGTCAGGCTTTGCTTTCCTACTTCAGGTGCTGGTGCAAGCTACAAAGGCTTGGGAGGCATGCCAGAGACCAAAGGGTAGAATTGTAGCAAACATGAAAGCAATCCGAAAGAAACCAAGCGACGTTCCATCCTTCACACAGCTGTCCACCAGGATGGCATGTGGGTGAGGTAAAGTCCAGGAAAAGGGCCGGTCTGGCACAGGAAAGGTGTCTTGTCTCGGGGGCGCCGCCTGCCATCTAAGGGGCCCCCCTGACCCTGCGGGGTCTCCTTAACTAACAAAGCCTAACAAAGCCTTCTTATGTGGGTGCAGGTTGGGAATCGTACATCAACAGCTGTAGTTTGCGAAGATTGTGCTGCCGCCTATGTCCATTCGATGTCTTTTTTGTGCTTGCACGAGGAGAGCGGTGAAAGTCCTGAGCGTTGTGCAGCATTGGCAGACGAGGAGCGCCCTCCAGGGAGAATGCTTGGACCATCTTGGACCTGTTTTTTCAGTCACATTTGCAGCCCTGATCAACCAGCTTGCAGCCCACAAGGAAAGGGAGTTTGAAGCAGAGAAGGTCCAGCACTGCGCATTGACAGTGCTAAGTGCCAATGTTTGTTTGCTGTGTCAAGCTGGTGAGGACAAATCAGAACAGCTTCAGTCAGAAGAGGCCGTGATTTCATTCCACATTCAGCCATCATTTTGACAAGCACATGGTGTTCCATTATGCAGGGGTCCACCGGAGCATCCTGCATGTATTGCTTGGACTTGCCTCTAGGAGACTGCATCCACAAAAAGCTCAGAAGAAGAAAGCGCAGGCGCCGTCACAGAAGCAGTTGAGTGGGGGCGAGTACAACTCAAAAAAGTCATTGAGGGCTGGGCAATTATTCTCTCCACATCTTCTGGAATGGTGTTTGAGGTGCTTGCGCCTCAAAGCCTGCTGATTCCGCAGATGCACATTTTGTACCAAGTGCTGGGGAACTGAGTTGATGGCGGCAGCCCAATAGGTTTGTCAAAGAGCTGGCTGACAAGCTTTTCTAATTTGGAATGGGCAATCTCACGCTTTTTTGGATTCGGTCACGGTAATGAGGCGTCGGGTGGATGTGGCATTTGGTAACCCATCATTTGGCATGTTTGGGCTCAAGCTGCTTCCACTTTGTAGGGCAAAGTGTCGTGTGGAACTTCTGCAGGGCCGGGTGGGCATCCGAGCGCACAGGAAACCAGCCCTATTGATCAGAGACGACATGACAGTAATTGGGTGGATCTTGGTCTTTTTGTCTTTCTTCAGTGCCCCATGGAATCTGGATGTTTGGCCTTTCCGCTGCACTGTAACAATTATCAGTTCTTTCGCTCGGTGCAGTGAATGGCCTGGTTTGTGCTTTCTTTTGAAATGAGACATCTCTTAGACCATCCACCTGCATGTTTAGAGCAGGCTATGACACGACTTAGTGGGCCCAGTCCGGCCATTACCTATGTCTTTGGCTAATGGCTGCGTGCCACTCATCGCCGGCGGTGCTGCTTGCGCAGCCTCCTCCCTGCGCCTGGGGCCTCGAGATCTCACGGTGGCTGTGGAGCTCTCTGATCTGGAGAAAGGCCAAGCACGAAGGAATTCAATCCAAAGACGGGAAAGGCAAAGGCACAAAAACTCGAAAGTACAAAAACAATATGTATTCCATGGATTCAAGGAGCGCAGTCGCCACGCAAGTGCATTGAAGTAGGCCATTCCATGATTGGTAGATAAAATGTGACATTTGGGTCGCCGTGCGTAAAGTCGAGTCCTGTGTTGTTGTGAAGCCGCACTGCATCAACGATATATAACGTGGGAAAGCCTGCTTCACGCAAAAGAATCCCCTGTCGCGAAATAGCGGGGCAAGGAAGGGCTTGGCGGGAGTTGTTGCGGATGTAGCAGATAAAGATTGACAATTGCTAATTTGTATAGAACAATGTATATAGTAGTATAAAGTAATATGATATGATTCTTGATCTATCAGTGACTGGTGTTCAATATGGTGGCTGTGGTCCTTTGTTTGGCCCTTCTAGGTTTTGTTCAATAGACTCAGAATAGACTCCCCACCATTTGCAACAGCTGATGAGAGAGTTCCAAGTTTGCTTGTGGTGTGGAAGGGGGCCTCCACTTTTCTAATGTACTTGAATTGCAAGGGCTCCTTCCATTTTCCCGTGGTCAACACCATGTGTTGGAGCTGATTTTTTTGGGTATATAATTGGTGAAGTGCCCATTGTATTGCCCATTTTGCATCAACACATACTTACTGCCGACTCCAGTCCCCATGCCTACTGTGTAGGAGTCCTTTTTTGCGTCAGCACGGATCACTTTGGATTACAGAAACCTAAACCACCACAAAGCCACACACACACACACACGGAAATCAAAGCAAATCACGACCTGGCACGGATTGCTGTTGCAGACCTTACCCAAGTTAAATCTAAATTATCAAGCTCTTCAAAGCAGTGTCGCTTTTGATTCCGCCCTCAAGTGGCTTTTCCAGGCCCACAAGAGCCCGGTGTCGCTGATGATGGGTCACCCATTGTCGAGGCAGATTTGGCCCTGCAAGCGTCTTGATTTGATTGGAAAACACTTTGGCAAGAGGTGTTCAATCAAAAAGACAGTCTGATTCTTTCTCGCTTTCATCCTTGAAAGTTGGCTTGCCTAGTTTTTTCTGAATGCCCAGCCCCCAAGACTGCTTATGCCCAAGTCTGTCGTCAGATCAAGCACGTCGCGTCGCTGACCTTGTCACTCGCTGTGTAGACCTCCATGACGATGCAACAGGCCACAAGGTAATGTGTAGGACAGGCTTCCTGCAAGGCACTTGGCCACGCGTTCGTCTAGTCACTGGTCTAAGGACATTTCCTCCGATGATGAGCGGAAGAAAGGCACACTGTGGTTTGGGGCCAACTTTTGCCGAAGGAGATACATCCTAGAACCTTGGCGGCAAATTCTTCGCTGACCCGGTACCATATATATTTATTGTCAAGACATTAGTAAGGAGGCTCTATCTATCTATCTATCTATGTATCTATCTATATGTATTTTTTGTATAAACACGAGAGTCTCACGAGAGGGAAGTGAAGACGATATGGTTAGAGAAGCACATGTTGATTGAGATCTAATGGTGTTGTTCTTTCTCAGCAGGTCATGGGGCCTTCCAGCAGTTTGATTGCATCGAACAAAAATAGAAGCCAATGCAGAATGAGCCGAAGTTCGGAGGCTGTGTGTACAAGGTCACACGTTCTTATTAGGGCCCCTGGTTTTTGAGGCTTTCGTCTCGTGGGCATGTTCGTTTTTGTGAACCCTTTCAGTGTTTTGAGGCCTTAGTGTTTGAAGAGTAGGTGAATTACCTGTGTTTTGGGAAGCCAATGAGCATTTTATAGTGTAAATATCAGAGTTTCGTACCCGTTTCAGCGGTGGTTCGTTTCGACGGCCGAAGTAGTTGCCGCAAAGACTTTCTCAGAGGCTCCCGAGTGCTCTGGTCAGGTCTACATCGGCATCTAAGTTGGAGCGCCAAACGAACGCGTAAACGTAGTTCATCAGGCGCTCGGAGATGCCCACAAACTCTTCTAACATGCGAGGGGAACAAAAGACAAATGATGTGTCAAGTCACGACATCTGGCGTGGCGCTCATCACGACATTTGGTGTGGCACTCATGGTCGGCATTGCGCAGGAACGAAGTAAACGACGGGATAAAACTAGAAGTGCAGCTGTCAACACTGTGTTAGGGGTTCTACTCGTACCTCGACAAAATTCCAACCAACATCGAAAAAGATTCCAACGTGTTTGTCCAACCAGATCCCAATCTACCCAAGAACGTTCGGAGATCAAACATGTTTGCACAACAAAGTTCAATGTGTCATCCAACAGAGGGGTCGTGAAAATATCAATATATTGATCTAACGTAAAAACGTTAACACGAAAAAGGGGTCCCAAACACTCCAAATCTGTTTGAGGCGGTTGCCGAACACCACACAAACGAAACAACAAAACCAAACACAACACCGTCGAAACATCCGAAACCGTCATCGTCGAAGCCAAAACTTGCAGTAGGTGAGATACAATGTCGGCATAGAACGTATCCATCAACAACCTCAACCGAACCCCCATGAAAATTCAAAATATCATCACCCCCATGGACGTCATTATCCCACCCCCCCCACCCCCC